TACGTCTTTCGAAATGATGTTTCTTCGAAAAACTGCGGAGTTTTACAAAACTAAAAAAAAATCATTTGTACCTTAAATTGGCATCCCGCCAAATTTTGAAATTTCTAAGAACAAATGAAAGGGAATGAAGAAACTACAACGTAGCCACAGCTGTTTGCATAATAGTTCTCGACTACGGAACGATTTGGAATATCCCGTTGGAATTGTGGAAGACACAGAAGCCAAAATAATCTACCCAAGTTTCAAAATATCTAGTTCTCTCGCTCAAAATACCAACTAACTAAAAACTTCCACTGATTAATACTTCGACTGGTAACTAAGTTTTAAAAACCAAGCAGTTACTTTTGCCGATCCAGTTCGTAGAACTTCCATAGCGCTGAAGACGAGCTCGCAGTAACGCACCAGACACCAATAGCTACAACCCTTTGAATTCTACAGCTATTTCAGACCTACGAACGAACACGTAGGCAAGGACCAAAATTTCTGGCCAAATGCACGTAAGCGGTGTGAGCGCACGTCCGTATAGTTTGAGAGACAGAGTAGCGAGAAGACAAAAGCTTCAAAAAATCATGCTTTTGAGCGCAAAACTTGTTGTTGGCATTGGCAGACATGTAGAGGACGACTATTTACTGTTTGAGATATTTCTGAAAACTCGTCAAAGATGCCGAAGTGCACGTGATCGGTTTTTTTGGTAACTGGTACGTCGTTTAATTCAGTTCATCCAGGGCAGTTCAGTGAATGTCGAAATTTCTGAATAGATTTACTGATGAAGTATTTTTGGATGTTTTGAATGTTTTGTAACTGGTTCTAACAACAGTTAAGGATGACTAATATTTGACCAATAGCGATTAGCGGATTTCCTCTCATAACGGTGAGAAACTGTGGAAATCCAACTCATTCTTCATAACTTCATTGACGAGAACAACGGCTAAACTTGACACAGTCATTGGAGGCTGTTAAACGTTATTACGAGAGTTTGTGGACTAAATCTTTGTGAGCTGTATTTTAGCGTGGGGATGGTCTCATGTTTTTAAAAAACTCCACTTTTCTTCAGGTAATACTTTTGTTGGTCATTTAGAGTTGTCCTCATTTCTTAAAAACAATGAGAAAACTATAGTATTGTTCAGAAGTCTGACGAGACAACCAATACTCGTTGTTTTGCCCTCGCAGACTTAATTTAAAACTGTTTGTTTACAGACAGAACCTTCACTTTAAAATTTGCAAACCTGTAAGCTCGGCTTTCGACTTCAGAATTGAGAAAGTTAAGTTTTTAAAAAAGGCTGTTAGATTTAAACCTTTGATGAAATACAGAAAAAGCAGCCGTCTCTTAACCTTCCGTCGTCGTGCTGAGCCAAGTGCAAAATCCCATCGTTTTTTTTCCGGTATATTTATCTCTTGAAAATATTGTATTTTCCAGCCGCACGGGACATAAGCTTGCGGCGAAGAGACTGTGTACACTGCTTAGAAGTGGTTGAAAATCTTTGATAGCTGAAAGTATTCTGTGGTCCTTCATCACCTGTGAGCACGACGGGCAGTTTGAAGCGTCTTAAGAACTCAAATATTACGCATCAGTTTTTATGGACTCCATTCATAGAATCTTTATTTTTTATTTTATTATTATTTTTTTTTTTTTTGTAACCGCAGGGAGTAGCCCGTCAAATGACTCACAAATCATAAAAATCTGTTCTGTGGAAGACTGCATCGATTACCGCTAAAACATCCCTTCGCCAAGTGGAAATTCCATCTTTTTTCCAGCAACTCATCAGCATCTACTAACTCTACGACGAATGCTTATTTTGACATAAATTTTTTTTTTTTTACGATTTGAGACTGCTTTGCTGTCAGTATAATCAAAAAAATTGGAACTACTGAAAGAATTATCTAATTTGATGTTCAATCATCCACTAGTAACGACTACGCAGTTGATATTGTCCTCTTCGTTCGTTTTCGGAACCGCCTAGTATATGGATTGCCTCAGCTGACAGACACTCTGTCTAAAATTGGGGACCGGATCACTGTGTTTTCTGGCCTTGACATGTCAGAGGGTTTTTCCATCGTTTAAAGCTCTTACTGTAAGCGCGCTTACTCGGTACCAAGAAAATCACCGTTACTTTTGTATGAGTCTTCGGATTTGTATAATCTTCGACTTAATATGCAGATCACGTATTTACTATGCAAACGAAATTTGTACCGACTAACGACTCAAATAAGGGGGAATGGGTAATGCCATCTACTAAGATGAGCACGAGTATTATTATACGAAACGACGTATAACACCGTACGGTAGAACGATACTTTATTTTTCAGTAGTCTATTTAAAAATGTAATAGGGAAATTAATATCTAGAAAACTCTTCTTGATGTAGAAACGGTTGAAAGGCTTGACGAACAAAGTATTGCTCTAAACAGTGAACAGTATCAGAATAGAGAGAAAGAAAAAAGGGAACTTTCAAGATAGCATAAATGAATAGAAATCATGAACAAACAAACAAATAATCCAGTAATTCGTAGCCTGAAATCCTGGAGCTACCAAACCACCAGCTTCCGTAAAATAGTAATAAACTGAAAACAATCCATAAAAAAACTAGTAATGAGGAGAGACCAAAGCGATTGAACAGTAGCAAGAGTCTTTACTGGTCGTGAACTACATTGAAGATGTTAAGCTCAAGAGCCCCTTTCGTACTTCTGGCCTAATTAGACCTATTGCTGCGTAGTCATTTTTATCGTACCCACCAACTTTTCTTTGCTAAAAGTTCAGTAACCTGGTACACTGCAATATAATTTTGCCGTTTCGTATACAATCTCGACATCTCTGATATTTTGAGGTAACACTGATTCCTTTATAATAGTTGTTATTGAAGAAAGTAATAAGCGACCAGCAAACTTTTGAGAAACAACTCGGTATACATTTTTAGCCAATTATAATGCAAAAAATAAGCAGAAAGAAAATGACCTTTCTGGAGGCGCTATCTTCTTTTTGAGTAAAAATAATACCATTGTCATTCTGTTGGATTACCTGCCTACCCATTCTCTTCGTCAAATGGATCTGGAAGGTGAATTGTACCTATAATTGCAAGTTTTGCTTGGTTTTTTTCGCTCTCCTGCATTTCCATCTCATAGTTTTTCGTCGTTTAATCATTTTTTCTTCAAAATCTGCTTCCTTGACACAAGAACATTGATTCACCAAAACCCAGTTTCGGATTTTTAGCGTGATCATGTATAGACGGGTAAATCCATGTCTCATAAACTTTTCCAGCTTCCCCATCTGAGTTGAAGAAAGTTTGCGTGTGAGAAAATTATTCCGAGCAATGTTTACAGTCCTTGAAAAATTTGTTCTTCCCACCACTTTACCCTCCTTTCTGCCGCTCATTTGAGGAAAAATTCAGGCCGATGTCTAGATTAACGAGTTCCAGGAGAAATGATAAATATGAAAGGAAAATAGTCAAGACACTTGCGTTTCCAAGGCGATGGGAGAGGGAGCATAGCAACTAAAATATTCGGTATGAATTTTGGTTGACGTAATGGTCATGGTAATAATTAAGTTATAAACACCAACAGACCGCTCCCGCGGTCTCCTAGACCTATGATCTCTCAGGTATCCTAGACAACTAAATCACAATAGTTCCACTATGCCTTAAATCACTATTCAGCACTAAAATACCAAGTCACGAAAATATTTGGAAATAATTAATTTGAAATAGATATGCTACCTGTTAAACAACATGTAAATGAACAAATCTGATTATGTTGGCTATTACATAATGAGAGACTCTTCATATTTAATTCTATTCGGTGTTTATTACTCATTCCTTCTTCCGTCAGTAACTTATCAGGCTCGTTCCTCACCATTCCGTAACTTTCCTTACTGCCTCGCTTGTAAATTATACGACATGAATATACTTTAACTTATACAAGCCCGCTATTATTTGCCGTTTCTTAAACGAGTATTGTTCTTGAATCTATGTTTTAATTAAATTATAAACTACGCTGTAGTTCTCTCTTTTTACACTGGAGAAATCTTCGCCATTTTAATTGGATACTTGAATCCTTCTTTGTCTTCCTAACTCATTAATATTTGAAGTAAATTTGGAACTGGCGCTGTGGATGATGTCAGGATTGATACGAAGCGGAAGCATGGAAGCCAACAAAACAATAACTTGAAATGACTAACCTCCACCTTCCACCTCAGTTCCCAAGAATCCATTTCTTCTAGTCCATCCTTACCAAAATAGCCACCTTATGGGACTAGATATTTCCTTCATTAGCACTGTACACTCATGTGGAAGTTATGTTTCCTTTTTTCTTTCTCTTTGAATCAATTCTGGACACTTCCGGAAGGACGTTCAGCAACGTAAGGCCAAGCTAATGAATCGAGTCGCAAAAAAAAAAAAAAAAAAAAAATCATTGCAACTGGAAAAACAACAAAGGCAAAAAATGTTACTAAATTTAAAATTTAAATTTCCTGGAAAACACTATCTTTGTTGTTAAGTGACAGGTATTTCAACAATTTCAATGTGAAATCAGCTTTCTGATAAATTCAATTCCTGCCAAACCCAACCTGCGTAGCTTTCTATTCTAGTAGTTTTCCGAAACCTCCCATCTAAATATTCTCAACCAATCTAAAAAACGTGTAATTAATTCAGGTATATTAAGTTAAATCACAATAAAACCAGTATTACCTGGCTCAGTAGCAACAGTCAGTCTTAAAAAAATGTGCTTCATCAAGGCAATCAGGAAAATTTAGGGTAACAATGTAACGATGAATAACGTATGGAACCGTGAAAAAGACCAGGAATTACAATAAAATTCCGTGCTGCAGGCACCTGCACGTGAAGAGACTGCAGTCTTTCCTAAAACTCATGTATGCCTATCTGCTTCTTGTCCAATCCGTTGTTAAAACATCTTCCCCAAATTATCCATCCTTTGAACCTTGAACACCGTATAAAGTTCAAGAGGAAAACTCTCGTCAAGAATGAAACTTTTCATTGAAACTCAAAAACCTGAGCGAATAGATTAAGATCTAGAGCGTTTGCTAAATACAGAAACTGTATTAAAAATGATTTAAATACTCTGGCAGTAAGACGTCAAAAATCTTAAGCTAACATGATTAATTGCAAATTATCGTAAAACAGAAGAAAGAAGGAGGTTAATAGCTTCAGAAAAACCGCTTTAACTAGGAAATTTATTACAAAAAAATATCCTTCTTTCCTGGTTTGAATAAGTCAAAAATTGGAGAAAGCCGCTTCAAAAATTGTAGCCGGTTTTTTTGTCCTCAAAAATTTCATTGCCTATACTGTTACACAAGAAGTGAAGTCAATAAATACGGAACAAAAACAACGTCTTTAAATGATGCCAAAATACTCGACGCTACAAAATCATGAAGTTGACTTCTCTAAAACCCGTTCAAAGAGAGCCAAAAAGTTTAGCTGTTTAACATTGTGTCGAGTGTTCTTCCAAAGCACCTAGTAACAAGCCTCAAGAACAGAAATACGTAACGCAAAAACGTCTTATAGTACAGAACCAACAGGAAAACAATAATAATTGTATAAAAGAGATAAACACTCTGCAGATGGGAAAACGATCCTACATTATCAGTTATAACTTCTTCATCTGACTTTCGAGTGCCAAAAATTTCTTGCAGTATCTGTACCTAAATTAAATTAACAGATCCAACTTTAAAAAAAATCAAATAAACCCGTTAAAAGCAGCTGAACTAATAAATTACAAACAATTAAATCGCTTAGTGAAAAAAGATGTCTATTGTATAAGCTATAACCTACTTGGAAAGTATCGGAACTGGCACCTAACTTCTCACTAATCAAATTCAATCTCGTTTGGATCTTCCTTTCAGCATTAAAATCGCTAAAATGATTCAAAGAGATGAATGGCCTTGAAAAGCAACTAAGTTCAGGTTAAAGAAGCAAAAACTGCATACACCGGTAAAATCCCATTCAATACTTGATGAGAAATGACTGGGGGATAATTTTTGCAAACTGGAACGCTCCGATAAAGAGGAAGTCCGTCATCAGTAAAAGCAAATACTACCTGTAACCTCAACATAAAAAAATAAAATTTGCTGCAGGAAGAAACGCAATCCTGAAAGACTGTCTGTAAAAAAACCTTGGAATATTTGGCGAAGTTAGAAGCCGTTATGTGTTTCCTGGTGTTATTTTGCTCACCCACTAAAAGGATTTTAAAGTCTTGTATCTAAAAATGAATAATTAGTCGGAACTGAAAAGAAAAAATATTAGAACTTCATTGCGATTTTGAAATAATCTCAGTGAACTAAGAAATGATTTGAAAACAAAAACCATTTAGAACTTCTTCGATATTTAAATTTAAAAAGCAATAACCTTCTTCAACTGGTTTTCTAAAGATGGATCTAAAAACTTTTCTTGAGCTGTACTGAGCAATGCTTCCATAACAGACAAGCAATTTTTGCTTTCTACTGAGTCAACATCTTCCAAACACGTGCTATCTCCGAAAACGCCGACAAAACCGGCGCTGTAAAAAAAGGAGCAATTGTTCGCTTACAATTCTAATTAAAAAACTAAATTTAAAAAGCAAGAATTGAGATTTCTTGGTTAGGAAACCTACTCTCTTGTAAAATTTGAAGGTAACAACAGCGCAAACACAACTGCTTCCCTAACGACCAACGGACGCTTTTCATTAATTAGTTCCTCACCCTATAATAACAAATCCAGTATTAAGAATGACCAAGACATACTTAAAAGTATAATAAAGTTATGCAAGTCAACTTTAGAAGTTATGGTACGACAAAAAATTGCATGAGGCAAACACTTGCAATATCCGTCAAGTTCGCAGACAATACTAAAGTGTTTGAAGGAGCCTTAACGATCGAAGAACCCGAAGAATATTTAATAACTGAATCACCAAATTGAAAAGTGCCATCAAAAACCTTCAAAAATTCCAAACCAATTAACCACATAACCAAAAGAAATTCATTAATACACCTCAAAAGAGCTCCAAAAAGTATAAAATCTAATGACAAAATTTACCTGAGTCCCTAAAGAAATATTCCAAAGCGACAAAAGTTCATTCAACGCCAAAATGTTACTCCCACCAGTCTCCGGCTGCCACCACTGCCTATGTTACGAGCAAAAAAGTAAAGAAGCTAAAGAATTAGAAGTACTTAAAGTCTCTAACTATTCAAAAAGAAACTGTTTTAGAAAGAAGGGCGTGAAATTACTTTGTATTCTCGTCTAAAAAACGAATCTTCTCAACTATACTAGAATTAAACCAGTCCGCAAAAATTATGATATTTAGACCGTGCTCTTCAGCATATTCAAAAAGCCGGGTCCGTTCAGCAGGGAAAAATTCTTCTTCTGGGTCCACGATAATATATACTGAATAATACGACAAATTGACACACATTAGTGGCTCACCCAAAACCTTTAAAAAAAACATTTAAAACATGAAATACTTTTGAGCCCTGGAATGCCGTAAAGTACGAGTGCAGGAAAAAGGTTTTTAAGATATGTAGGCATTAAAAAAAAAAAAAAAAAGCAATTACTTCAACATAGTAACCATTGCTTCTTAATTGATAATAAAGCCCCTTAAAGGTCGTGTGAGGATGATCAGCAGTCCAGTCTAAAGGATTTGCTTTGTCTCTTAAATCATCACGTGGAAAATACCCTGGAGGATAACGCATATTGCGATACTGATCCCATAAAATTCGTTGACTAAAGAATGACTGGTTTACAACAGCATAAACGCTTGAAAAACTTTACAGTTCAGTAGGAAATATTTTAAAGATACTGTTCTAAAATCAAAAAACCACAGCAACTCCATATGGAAACTGTACAGTAAAGTAGACTAAACAATCCATTTTTTACCTTTTAGGTGGTGTCGGCACAACCTTGACTCTTAAGTAGAAAACAGCAGTCGAGCTTTTCCTTATGCCATCAGATATGCTCTAAATGATAAGAAGCAACTATCTACTATCTAATTAGGAATAAATTATATAACGCATTTGACTTTTATAGCAACAAACTAAGGCATAAAAAAGAGACTGTAATAGTGACGATAATGCGACCGCCAGCAGTGCCCTCAAAATTCTTTCCCTCTTCGGTAACCATAATCGCAAGCGATATGTATCCAGACCAAGGCCATAACAAATTTGAATGGCTTATGGAAATATTCAACAATTCCCCTTTTTCTTCCAGGAATGGTTCCCAAACTGGCTAAAAGATGAAAGTTGTAAACATCCTAGAATATTAAGTCGAAACACTCATTATTTTACATTAATCTACGTGCAAGTTTATTCTTGAAATTAAGCTATCTTTGAAACGATTCGGTGAATCCAGTACTACAATAAAGATAACGAATTTATAAAGTTTGTAAGATTTCTATAAGTAATAAAAAAGTCAAATAAAGAAAGATTACTGGTTTTTCGAAATACCCAGTCACGTCCATCCCATTTATGATCGTAATCTTAAAAATTTATTTTTATAATCTCGAAAAAAGTTTTAAATATCCCTTGTCCTCGTTTCACAGACACTTAAACGACCTTACATTAATTATCGTAGGAATTGCAGTGAAATACACAGGTTGTGTACAGTAAGGCCACATATAAGAACATTCGTTAAAATCCACATATGAAGGAAAGAGCCTAAAGAGTAATTATTAGAAAAAGAAAAAAAACATAGAAATTTTTATTTCCGACAACCAGAGGTGGTTCTTAAAACAAATCTCCAACAGCAACAACTGCACCGCTCAGGCCACGTTATTAGAAACTCATTCCAAGAATACATTCAAAAAGAAAAACAAACGAAGAAAAAAGAAGAAGTTTTTTGGTCTCCAAAAAACCATACGTTATCGAATCGCGATACTTTTGGAAGTATGAGAATGACGCCAGTAAATCCATTTTCCCTGCCCCTTGTTCAAACATTGATGCGTCGCTGTTTAGACGCTGTGCACCTTCAATCAAAGCCTGCTTAACAACGCCAGGATTCCATAAACGACGATCTTTTATACCGCTGAAGAAAGCGTTAATAATTTATATAACTAATTAAATAACACAATTATCAATCATCACCTCAACATCAAAGCTACAGCTCCAGCAACAACAGGAGAAGCTACAGACGTGCCTGATAACGACCGACATCCTCCATCAAGGGCAGAAGCGTAAACAGATGCCCCATATGTCACAATATCTGGTTTCAGTCTGCCATAACCCCCTTAAAACGAAAGAACTGATCTGACTGGGGAGAATAATCAAGGACTACAAACAAAAATTACCTGGTAACTCCCACGTAGTCATACCTCGAGAAGAGAAATGAGCAATTTTTGAATCAGCATTTATACCGCCCACCCCTATGACGTCCATTTGGTCCGCAGGGTTATTTAAAGTTCTAAAACAGAAATTCTCTTCAGCTTACTCGTGACATAACGCAGAGAATAAACCAGTATAAAACAGTACCCAAATCTCGGACCATCATTACCAATTGCAGAAATCAGTATAATCCCATTAGCCGTTAACTCCCAAACCTTATCCATGAAAGGGAGGTCAGTGAAATCGGGACCCCCGATACTTTAAAAAAAATTATTTTATGCTATTTTAACAAAGACTTGTGATACAGAGTTCACAAAACATATTTCAAATAACAATAACAAGTATACTAGTAGAAGTCACACCTCAAGTTCAAAACATTAATGTTTCGCAGTATAGCGTGGTTAAATGCATCAAGGAACCAAGACGTATAAGAAATCTAAAAAATAAACATCAAATACGATTCCTTACAAGAAGCATTAGCAATATAACTTACTTGTTTCTTGGTAAAAACTTTATATACATATACACTAGCAGCTGGTGCAAAGCCCAAGCATTTAGGATTAGAACTGGCAATAACACCCGTGACAAATGTTCCGTGACCAAGACCTAAAAAGACAAAATATTTTTACAGTTTAAATCCTTCAAAATATCCATAATTTTCCCCTGTATCTTCACACACTTCTGTTTCTGGCGGTTGAAAAATGACAAAAACAAAAATTTAACGAACCGTCATCAGCCGTTTGTTCATTAGTCCAGTCTGTTCTTTCTGCTATATGGCGTATGTGAGGATAATTTTCAGCAAGACCGGTGTCAAAAACTGCAACTCTCACACCCTGTCCTAAAAAAACCCATTTTGAGGAACCAAATAATAGTGAACATTTCAAGGGAATTACTCAGCAGTTAAAGCAGCATTGAAAAGATCCAACCAAAAGCAAAAAGTATTTGAGCAAAAGAAAGTTACTGAAACGGTGACTGCTTGCCTTTGAAACCCATATCCCACAATTTGCTCGCATTCAAGTAACTGGTGATCTGGTAGATTTCAAGCTTCCCCAAAGTTCCACGTCTTGCTTTTAATTGCCGGGTACGGTTGAACGACGTAAATTTTGTGTTATCTGAAATACGACGAATGCGTGGAAGTCTTTTAACCGCCTCCCTAACATATTCCGTATCGGTCTGATTGAACTGAAAAACTCAAAATTAGATGCAAAGCCTTTCCAAAATAAAATATAAAAAAATAAAATAAATAAAAACAAAAAAAAATTAAACAAAAAACAGGAAAACATCACATGCCCAAGAGAAAAACACACCTCGACTACATCAAAATCGCTTAGCACGTTAGGTCTATTCTCCACACTATAAATAATTATCCCAATGTGTTCCGAAAGAAAAGCCAGTCGCGAGTCTCTATCATAATACCCGTCGTAAGTTAGCAGAAATGCTTTAAAAAAATTACTGATTTTCGTATATCTATATCTTTTAAAATATTTTGTTCAGAAAGCGTGGGAGTACTTCATATACATCCTAAGTAAGCCATCTAATTGACAGAAAAAAAAGGCTTCTTCAAAAATTAAAAGAGTAAGAATATTCAATAGTTACCATAAAAAAGACTGAACAATCTATTCTTCGCACAGTCGTTAACTTTTAACTTGTTCAAATCTTAACCAATTCTCAGTTATTATAAAGAGACGAAGGAGATCAGGTTAGAGCATAAAAAAAAGAATTTACTTCGAGATAACGAAATGCAGGTAGTCAGATGATAGTCGGAAATCACAAAAACCAGCAGCAAACCGAACGTATCCTGAGCAGTAAACATCAAGAACGAACGGTGTGAATAGGAAGTCGCGGGTGCGGCCTGTCACTACCCATTAATACTTCTAAGTGCCTAAAAGTTACTAGAACAAATAAAAAACGATATGAGTAGTAGGATCTCAGCCTAAACATAAACATTTTGGTCAAAAAAATTCCGTATTTTCAAGCGTAAGATGACGCAAACAGTAAAAAATGAAACAAAAAAAAAAGTGGAAAAGTAGGGAAGTCAAGGCGGAAGGTCACTTCGTACCGAAAAAATGGGTCAAGAGAAACAACTCAACGCCTAACGTGGCATAGAACCAAACTTTCTTCGTCAAATCTACTTCTCCTCTCCAGTTCTCTCACCAGCACATGCAGGACGTTGTCATCAGTAGACTTTCTAAATTAGTCTCTAGTTTACAGAGCAACATTTTTGCATAAAACCATATAATGAACAATTTATGGAGAGATACACGGAAATTACAGTGGCGCATTAACTAAGAATAAACCAACGAAATATACTGAACTGTCGAACCAACTAATTTACACCAACGTTCGTACCGAAACCGTACATCTAGCACGGCAACGTTCGTTGTGTTGAATTGAACTTCACATGCAGCCAAGGTACTAAAAAATCAGGAAGAAGGTCTTAAAGATCGCTTACGAATTAATTTTGGAGGTAATTGCTATATAAAAATCAGAGTTCAAATTAAACGCCACAGATAACGCACTGATTTGGCACTTTTTAGTAAATGACAGCGGTAAGACTGAAAATATTGTTCCTTTTCCTCAGAAATCTCTTAAGAATAGAGTCCTAAAAGTGACAAAAGGCATAAAAAAGAAAAGATTGAGGAAGTTGCTTTCTATAATGAAATTAAATCAAAAAAAGTTTCTTATTTGTGGCCGCCACTGCATATGCCTCCTCAACAGGGTTTGCGGTAACTCTATATTGCTTTACAAGAAGTATCCAAGCACTGAAAGGATTCTAAGATTCTGAATGAAGTCTCTTCACATCCATCAGAAAACTTACCAATAATCTCAAAAAAAAAAAAAAAAAAAGTATTTTAAAAACTTAAAAAAATTGCTTATAATAAATTGCAGCGTAAATATTTATTGGGAAATGGTTTCTTTTCTTTTCCTTTGTTTTCTTTGAACGTTTCTTTATCGGCCTCTAATCTCTGATAACATCTTAGCTTATAGAACTGTTTTTTTAGATCTACTGTTTACAGAATTGTAATTGGATTCATATAAATGTTATTTTGTTATACAGTAAATTTTCAAATTTATAATATAGAAATCATATTTGATAGTTTTATTTGTATAATAAATTTAAGCGTAGAGTATGAATGGTATTTAAGTGAAAGGAAGAAAATTAAAAAAGGAGAACTAAAAATAATACGTGTTCATTAATTCAAAAAGCATTTTTTTTTCCAAGTATATTAAAGCTTGATAATAGATTTTTTAGATTTACTGGAAATTTTTGACTGATATGACTGACGTTAAATCAATTCATTACAGTAAACCACTGATTACTGTGTAACTGAAAATAAAGTTTAGCAGGTTTAATCACCAATTTTTGTTACAAATGCGCTTTAATTTTAGTAAAAAATTATTGATAGACTTCGCAAAGAAATTTTATTTCACCTACAGAATTTGTTAAGAAATATAATAGACAATAATTCTACAGGCAAACCCCGTTGAGGCCATTAAACTGTGAAAATGAACGTTAGAGATTGAACTCTTCCTTCTTTACTCAATGCATTCCCCAGCAGCATTGTATTGGGCTTAGGAATACATTAATTTTTGGTATTATAAACTGCAGCTAGGTAAACATAAGTTTGAACAATATAAAAGAATTGTTCATCAGTTTTTACAACACTCCAGTTAATTGCTACGAAGAGCTGAGCACTGAATTGAACGGCAGTTGAGGATAGTGGACAGCATGAAAACCATTTGTTGCATAAGGAAAGGACGTAAAATTTTCTTTGCAGTAAACTTGCTGAAAATAATGAAAAATAGTTTCCTTTTTTTTTTTTCAGTTTTCTATTTGCCAAAGACGAACAAATTAGTGAGGACAGTATTGCGGAAGAGATAAAACGTGTTCACGATACGGATTGGTTCCTAAATGCTCAATAAGATTGAGGTACTAAAGATATCCCGCTGTTGTTTTAGAAGAATTTTGGTGTTACTACTTGCTGGCAAAAAAATTTCTGGGCATTGAAGAACATCTTCGAAACAAAGTACTACATGCATTGTTTTCAACATGCAAAGTCGTTAGTATTTACGATTAGAGCACCAAAAAATCATTTAAAAAATATATATCAGACGATAAAATTGATCCCAGAAAAAATTTTCTCTCTTAACGCCATTCTAACAACCTGCTTTAAATGTTCAAACACTGAGCATTCATTATACACAGTATTGCCAAGGGATAAAGTGGGGTTTAACCGTAGTAAACAGAGGGAAAACCTGTCAGTTTGTTGGCATTTCTCAGAACTAACTCCACTAATAAACTGTCGAAGGTTACTAACGAAATGCAAGTTTTCCATATAATATAAAAATCTCAGTTTTGCCACTGATAAAGCCTCACATACTGTAAGACTGACTGCTTAATTTAAAAGACAAATTTTTTTAAAAATATGAATTGAAAAGCTGTGTAGGTGCCTGTGCCTTCGTTAATTGGTATTGAAAAGCTAAAATGAACTGCTTTCGCTTTTGCCCAATCATATCTGAGAGCAATAAATAAACAAGAGAAAAAACAAAAAACTCCATTTAAACTTATTTCAAAGCTCAATATTCACGCTATGTTCAAAGATTAAACTTGATAAACTTCGGATACTTGACCAAGTAGCAAGTTAGTACATTACAAACAAAGATTTTTAGACTGTCTCACTGATTCCAGAAGTCTCGACTTTCACTTTGACTTCTACACAAAAATATCTTTTACTTTTCTTTAAACAACAAATAATTTTAAAAACTACCAGTAGCTGCAAATGTTCCTCAGAAGAGAAATTTTAGAAGAAGAATTTGCAGCGGAACTTAATACTTAGCAATTGGAAAACAGTAGAATTGTGCTCGACAATGCGGCCATTCAGAAACTGGGTTTTTAACGTTTATCTTCGTTCAACTCCACTGGTTCAGATAGTTTTTTAGTGCCTTTCTTCTTATTTCTTTCGTTATACATTACTGCTCTTAAGAAACCTTATGATGTACATTTACTAGAAATAGAATTTTTGTAAACAAGGAAAATGCTCTAATTGGTCACTGACCCTTATCTTTCAACATTTGCTTTCAAATACGAATCGAAAAGAAAGTAAACAAAGTACATCAGCAAAAAGAAAAAAGGATAAAGTTTCTAAACATCATTGCCCACCAGGTGAATAACTAAAACAAAAATTTTAAAAAACGAAACAGACTAAATAATGTAGCAAGGATCCCAAAAACTTGTCGCTCGCTGACTATTACTTTATCAGTGGGCAGCTACAGATGACGTACGGGAACACTGTCGAGCAAGAAACTCTTTATCAAAAAAAGCAGAAGCTTTATTTTTCCCGAGAAATGTCACCGAAAGAATTGAGGAATATAAATAATTTAATTGTTTCACTTTTTATTTTACGAATTCAAATAACATTCTAAGAATAAAATTCACAGAAACTTACTGCACCAAAGCGCAGCCTAAAGTCTTCCCTTCATATAAAACACATTCGATCTCTAAAGAACGGTTTTAATTTTTTTTTCCGACTCTACATGCAACAGCACCATATGCAACAGTACAAAAATAAGAAAAATCAAGAGATACGGAGAAGGAAATAGAAAACAATTCTAATTAACCAAAACCAAAGCTTTTTTTAAAAGCAGTAACAACAATGATAAAACTGGTAATAATAACAATAACAATAACAAAAATATCAATAAAATTAATGTTAATAATAACACGAATAACAATAATAGTAGTAGTAATGATAATAATAAAAAAATTTTGCTATTTTTTTCTTCTTCTAATTACAGGTGTCTGTAAAGCATTATGGTCACTTGATAATTTTTAACTGTAGAGTCTTTCACTGCCCTCTGTTTTATAGAAACCGTCAGATGATATCAGATGGAAAGTTGTATCGTTCCAAAACGGCTGAAAGTCGATGCGAAGAGAAGATAGACATCGATGAAGGCAAAAACGATCGTCTGCTGCTTCCAATCATTACTGTAGTAAAAATTTTCAGACCATGTTATTAGTGTGTTCAAGCGATAACTTAATCACACACTTGTCCTTTTCAAAAATCTGATATACATACATATTACCAGAAAAAAAGAAGAGAACACACACACAAATGAATATTCTAAAGGAAAAAATAACCCTGAATAGTAAAAAAAACGTCGTTTGAAACAGCAAAAAGAAAAGATAAGAATAAAGAGTAAATCATCTATTATGCATTTATAAACCGTAGTTCAAAAAGGAAGCAGCAATAAGAAAAGTTGGAAGAAAAAAAGTTGAAGAATAACTTTTATTCGATTCATACAAGCAATCAAGGCACCTTCTACAATATGTGAAAGATCAATTTTTACGATCAGTATGGAATATCCAACAAAAAAACAATATCGAAAATTGGGAAGTATAAGACGAGACAAGAAAATGCTCAAAAATTAATGTCATTGTACCCATACATTTATGTCGAAATAAATGTTGCATGAATAGAACAAATTTCTATCAATTCTTGTTTTGTTGCCTTCAGAACGCTGCAGTTAAACTAA